GCCCGTCTCGTCTCTCTGTGCTCGTCTCGTCTCTCTGTGCTTGTCTCGTCTCTCTGTCCCTGTCTCTTCTCTGTGTCCGTCTCGTCTCTCTCTGCCCGTCTCGTCTCTCTGTGCCTGTATCATTTGTAGTCCTGTGTCCATCGCTCTGTTTTTTGTCCCTGTGTCATGTCTGTCTCGTCTCTCTGTGCCTGTCTCATTTGTAGTCCTGTGTTCATCACTCGGTTTTTTTGTCCCTGTGTCATGTCTGTCATGTCTCTGTGTCTGTTTGTCCCCACTGCTGCTTCAACTCCAGCAGCATTAAAACACATGTTTACAGTGTGTGTAAAACAGTAGTTTGGACATATCAGGATGTTTCACTCTTCACATCAGGGTCACAAAGGTGGAACATGTTTCATCGCTCATGTTTGGGTATCACAAAGGCTCAGACCTTTATCCATCTTTCATGTACAGAAACTTTTAATAAACACGGGAAACAACACAAACTGAGTGCCCATCCCATTTTATTCCCCAGCTGACTGCATACTTGGCTATGAGGGACTTTTTATAATTCATTAATTTCTTTTAAACGACTTTCCAAATAAACACATTTGAAATGTTAGACTGCAAAGACTCATCGGTGCTGCTGCTGAAATTGGTACACTGTTGTTTTTTTTTTCACCTTCTCATGTTGAGAGTCCAGTATGCATCATGGTCTGTTTGCCAGGGGTTGCTGGGTAGACAGGAGGCCAGGAATGGGTCATGATTTTTGTAGGTTGTGATGTATTTGACCAGCCTGCAGAGACAGAACTGTTATTAGCTTCATCTATTTTCTAGTTGAGGATGTCAAAACCAGGCAGCACAGCCGCAACTAAAGGAGATGCATATATATGTATATTTAAATATACGTTATTTTAAACTAATGATGATAGTACTCTTGGTGCTGTAGGTGAGCACTCGAGTGAAGAGATTTCTCAGAGTTTTTAGTGCTGAAAAAACAAAAAGTGACACAGTCACTGAGCTATGAGGGCTTTTTTAGAGCAGTGGCTCACTGGGACCAGCTGTTTTCCAGCCGTGCTGATTAGAAACAAGTCACACCCCCTCTCCACTATCCTGAGGAAAGCCACACACAGAATGGAAAGGAGCTGGTAAGGCTCACCACTGGGACCCTCCAAACTGTGACTGAAATACTCTTCTGGTTTCTGTCTTTGTTTCTCCTCATTTCACTCAAAATATTACACAAAGTCACCTACAAGTATTGTTTTTATTAGGAGAAGTAAATTTTATTGTTACATGTGTTAGATGCAGTATGGCAAAGCTGCAGTTTTGACATTTGAACTCGTGTTTCTCTGCAAAGTGCGCTACGACCTGAATTTCCCAGTTGTATCTTGAACTTTTGCAACTGTTCCTTCTAATGATTTTTCAAATGTCTCATAGTGAGGTCGAGTCTCCGTGCATCCATGTGGTGTCCACAGCTTATCTTAGTGAGGGTCTAAGGGGCAGCAGTCCAGGCAGAAGAGCCCAGACCTCTCTCATGGGGGGTCATATGATGGTTGGGGTTTCTCTGCCGTATTATTGTAGGGTCTATATTACAACATAAAACGCCCTGAGGAGACTGAACCTCCTCTGTTTCTGCAGGAGGGCACACAGAGAAAGTTGGAAGTTGGAAACCCTTCACCTATGAGGCACCTGGGTGGCCTCAACTGACTCCTTTAACAACTCTGGACCCCTGCTGTACTGTATGACCAAGCGTGTCTCCACATCTCTGATGGAGAGCCCAGGAACTCTGCAGGAAGTGCATTTCCAGCACTTGTATGTAGTGCTGGGCAATAAAATGATGACATCATTTTATTGAGGGGAAAAATACTGATGACCATAAATTTGGGCTTTAAAATTCAGACAGTACTCGTGGCCTTAGGGCTGATGTAACATCACCACAGACAGATACTGTATCAACTTCTCAATAAGAGACAATATCAAAGACACACTGTCAGAAACTCTCTGCGGCATATGTTGCAAACTGGTTTATCTGTGCTTGGTCTGACTGGAGAAACCTAAATCACTTCCACACTTCTGACAGCATCATGAGGCGTCTCTTAACAACCAAAAAGAGTTGTGGGCAAGAGCCCCAGAGAACGAGAGGCAGGGGGCAGCTGACACTACCAGCAAGCTAAGAACAGGGCCCTATGTCGCTAAAAACTGCTTGGTACCTGGAAGCCTTCTTGGCCACTGGGACAAAACCCAATGTGTATCCAGTGTTGGGAAGGTTACTTTTAAAATGTATTCCACTACAGATTCCATTACATTACTCAATGAGAGTAACGTATTCTGAATACTTTGGATTACTTAATATATTATCATGCTTTTTACAACTACATGAATGTACTATTGCTGTGTCATTTAGGTTACTCTCCATACCAACACCAACTAGATGTTTAAATCTTAATATAAATGAGTAACAGTAGGTGGACATTAGGTAAGGCTGCACTTTTTGCAGCGATCTCGTATAGAAAACTATTCCTCGCGTATATAAAACAGGTCAGCGGCTCCAAACCGTAGTAAAGGGACCTCTGGCTAATATGGTGGGTTCATGTCGGGCTCGTAGC